CGATTACTGCAGAACGCGACTGCCTTCTGCTCGCAATCGTGTTCGCTCAAGCCCAGCTGCTCGCGTTTCTGCTTATTCCGCGTTGTACATCCGCATTGCTCTCAGCCGCTCATTCTCTCGGATGGAGGCCCGCTCATCGTCAGTCATATTCGAAATGTTACGTCTTTTTGCTTCTGTATTACGAGTATGTCGACCCAAATTCGACCAAATTCTTTTTGGGTGGCATGACTTTGTTTCTAATGACTTCGTTTCTAACTGACATTTTGACATTTTCTTCTTAGCTGGCTGCCAGTAGGAGCATGGGGTAACGCGGAAAAAACTGATATATTCGCAAACGCAGATAAGCTATCAACATCAAAAGAAGACAATAACCGAGCTGAAACCTCAACACATGTTGTGTCAAAATTTGGGCTTAAACGGTTTAGAACTTTTCAAGTCTATAAAGGAAGTAGATACGAACAGAGCATTTTGATATATATAGATTCCAAACAAGCAAAACAAAAACACAGCGTACACGAGAACCTACGGTATTGGGCACCACGAAGGCTTCCCATCCTTGGTCCAAAACCTGGATCCGTGGGATCATCACCGGCCTTCCCTAAACTCCCCTTTATCGATCTGCACTCTCACATTTTGAATTACACGTTTTCACTTTCCCCCCTTTTGTATTTTCTCACTCAAATTTCATTTTAATTCAATATTTATTATTTCATCTTTTATGCTTTCAGTTAATATTACTCTTAAATATTAAACATGGATTAACCTAACACCTAACCAAGGCACCTTGGACAGACCTTGGGCACCTGTATGCACTGCATACAGATAATAGATTAATTACAAAAAAATAAATAGCAAATAACTAATTTAAATAAATAAGTATATAATCTACGCTAGGATACGGACAGGGTTTTCGGTACTTTTCAAATTTTAATTTTCAAAAAAAAACCTGTGGGCCACCCGGGAAGGGTGACCAATTTCCTTTTGTGTAGAAATTTTCGCCTTCGGGTGGCTCCAGTTGGTTGACGAGCTCCAAGTCTTCTTTCTTCGAAATATACTGAAGATTAATGAATCGTTATAATTTACTGTTTCCGATTTTATTTTTTCTTCGTACTTACGTTAGAGCTCCGTAGAAAATTATTGGGAATTTTTGATTAGTTTTTTTCCACGTGTCCTCCTCCTGTTGCCGTTTTCTTTCCTTTTTTTTTCTTTTGTGTCTCCTTGATCCCTGCTTTCCTTTCAATCACAGCGGTTGGATCCCGCCCGGTTCGTCCTGACTTCTTCTTTCTCGGGTCCATTCAATTTGCTCCGATATGCCATCTCTAGCCCCGTCATGTCATCGCTTGCCAGCGACTATCGACACCTAACAACCTTCCACCATTCCGGCTCAGCCTTACTTTTGTAGTATCCAAGCCAACCTTATTTTTTTCTCATTTTTTTATGAAGGTTTGTTATAGGACCTTCTTAAGGTTAAACCCGTTTATGCGCCAGGCACTGGCGGAGTACCAACTGGACCGAGGCCCTGTGGAAACCTCTCCTAAACCTCTTTAACCTGTCTCTGGAAACTTCGATATTTCCTCTCATGTAAACAGAATCTTACATTATTCCACTGCACAAAAAATGGAAAAAATCATACGCTGCCAATTGTAAAGGATTTCGAAATTGTCAGCCATTCCAAAAATTTTTTTTATGAAATAACTACGCCACATTTGTAGCTCAATTTGTTTTTATAGTTTGCTGTGAACCTAACGTATCGTTTTTATCAAAAAAATTTTTCCAAAAACCAAACAAATATAAAACCACTGTTATTTACTTAATCTTTCGGCCAATTTCGGGCATAACCAACACAATGGACTGGCAAGACCCCCCAGTTCCATCAAAATCAAGCCGCCTTCTAAAAAGAAGCCCTATTCTAACTTTCAAGATGTCGACTCCAGCGACTCCGAGCCTGGAGAAATGAAACGCAAGTCGGCTAAAAAACCCGTCAGGGAAGACGAACCAACAACCAGCAAGAGCGGCATTGAAGGCTAATATTGAAAGTAATTATTATGCTATTCTATCTGATCTTGAAGATGAAGTTTTAGACAACGGCATGGAAGCGGCCGATGATGAAGAGGTACTTATGACTTCTAAGTCCCCCAAGAAGAAGGAAATCAAGCCACCACCGATTTTTATCCCAGATGTCTCTAACATTGCTGCTCTAATTTCCTGCATCGAGGACATCGTTGGCAAAAAGAAGGACTTCTCCTACAAATCAAGTGAGACAATCAAGTGAGGATTATGATGCCGGATAAGGAGTCGTACTCTGCCCTCAAATCCCACCTTGATAGCGCCGGGAAAAGATATTACACATTCCAGCCCAAGGAAGATAGAGCCTACAGAATCGTAGTAAAGGGACTCCACCACACCACCGATAAAGACGAGATTAAGGAGGACTTTCAGTTTCAAGGACATGCAGTCCGTGATGTGCACAATGCCATAGGGAACATAACCAAGAATCCACTACCTATATTTTTTTCTTAATGGAGAGCCGTCTAGCAACAACAAAGGTATTTAGCGTGAATAGAATCTGCCACTCTGTGGGTAAGGTGAAAGCCCCACGCAAATTCCATGACGTGCCGCAGTGCTATCGCTGCCAAGGATTTGGTCATAGCCAGCGATACTGTAAATTTCAGCATCGTTGTGTCAAATGTGGTGAGCAACACAGCACAAGCGAGTGCAGGAAAAATCGAAAAGAGGCGACAAAATGCGTGCACTGCCATGGACCCCATCCTGCCTCCTACAAAGGCTGCCCAGCATATAAGAAAGCCAAGACCAGCATGGCCCCTAAGAGATGCCACCCAAGATGCCACAAGCCGACCAGTTGGCAGCCTTTACGTCGAGAGTGGAAAGCCTCCTGGAGAGAGTTTTGCTCTCCACCCCTGGGGGGAAAATTATGATCGGTTCCGCTTATATTCCTCCTAGACAGAGAGTTTCCGATAACCAATTTGATTTACTGCTGAATGACATGGGCGACAAATTCATACTTGATGGTGATTTCAATGCCAAGCACCCATGGTGGGGCTCGAGGGTGACTAACCCTAGAGGATCTACGCTATTCAGGTGTATTCAGCGTAGAGCCTTCAACTGCCATTCAACCGGAGAGCCTACGTACTGGCCCACTGACCCCCAAAAACGGCCGGACCTACTGGACTTTGCTATATCTCACGGAATTCATCCGGACTCCATTGCCTGCTCGTCAAATGCAGATCTCCTTTCGGATCACAGCGCGGTGGAGCTCCACATTAATACCCCTGTTGAGAAGGTCACCAGTTCCCGGATGATAAGATCACGTACCAACATCGAAACCTACACAGGGTGGCTAAATAACGCCCTAGGCAATACTCAGCCGGACCTCAACACAGGATTTGATATTGACAATGCCGTGGTCAACCTCATTCAGGAGATGCACAATGCTGCCTTAGTCGCAACACCAAGGGCTCCATGCAATAACAAAATCCTTCAAAGGCACCTACATTTGTGGTCTCCAGATGTAACTCTACTGCTACGGCTCTACGGCTCTACGGCTTAGAAGGATCTGGTTCCGAACTAGGTATCCCAGCGACAAAACAGCTCTCAATCGTGGGACCAAAAGACTCACGAAGCTGCTCCAGAGGTTGCGGACTTGTGCTTTTGAAGAATACCTACGTCTGGTTGAGCCCGGCGACCCCAAGCCCAACTTGTGGCAACTGACAAGTCACATCAAGCGTCCAAAGAAAAGGGTGGCTCAGGTTATGAAACCCGACGGTGAGTGGTGCCGCTCCGATCAGGAGAGGGCGGACGCATTTGCTACTCATTTGGAGGACGCCTTCACTCCATTCAATAGATGCTCGGAGGTGGACCAAGCTGAGACTGAGAGGTTCCTGTTTCTACCCTGCACGGATTTCTGTGAATGGGAGCCAGTCTCGGAAGAGGAAGTTCAAGAGGAGGTCGCTGGCCTCAACACCAAAAAATCCCCGGGTGCGGATGGCCTTGAAGCACTTGCCATTAAACATCTCCCTCCATTAGGTATCCAAAAGCTTACGAGCATATTCAATACGTGCTTGGAGATCGGCCACTTCCCCTCTGACTGGAAAAAGGCAGAGGTCATACTCATTCCGAAGCCAGGAAAGCCTGAAGCTGATCTTGCCTCTTACAGGCCGATAAGCTTATTATCAGTACTATCCAAGTTACTTAAGAGAGTATTTCTGCGCAGATTTCAGACTGTATTAGACGAGGCTGGCTTGATTCCAGACCATCAATTTGGTTTCAGGCGTTGTCACGCCACGCATAATTTCAGCTGCTCCATAACCTTTACAATCCCCTAAACCAAAAGCCAGAGCAAACATAGGTTTCATCACCCACAGTTTCTGCGGTACACCTCAGAGAAGAAATTGATCAATTTTTTTCATATATTGAATTAGTTAGGTCATATAATTGCTTTGACCATCGTCGTTTTTAGCACAAATCATTTTTGAAATGTATGTAGACTAACTCATACTAAACAAGAAAGGAAAGCTAACTTCGGGCGGAGCCGAAGTTTATATACCCTTGCAGCTAAAACCGGATATATATCGCAAACATCGGATATAGTTGGCCGATCCTTAATTCCTCCTGAAATTTGGTAGGTTGGATCAACTGACCAAAAATATAATCTGTACCAAGTTCCAGCTTTCTATCTTGAAAAACACAAAAGTTGGGTCATTTCCGATCGTTCAGTTATATGGCAGCTATAGGATATAGTCGGCCGATCCTTATGGATCGGGCTGGAATTTAATACAAATTCTATTCCTATCTAGTCTAACCTAACTATTCTTGTGAAGGAAAATCTATCAATACAATATAATATAAACTTCATATTATACAATAAAAAAATTACAAAATAATTATTAAAACTGTATTTTATTAAAACTGGAATTATTAAAACTGTCTGTATTTTTTATCGAAATACTATTATGTATATAACTAATAAAACAACATTGTAGTTTATTTATCACGTCGAAAGAAACTAACTTTATTTACTAACTACGAAAGTAAATTTTTTGTATTCTCAGGTTTCAATTTTAAACACTGAAACGTCAACCTTATGATGTTCATCAATAAAAAATTCTTTATCTACGGGAAAATTGCTCTTGATTTTAAGGCAATCTGAAAAGAAAAAATGGATATTTATTGCAAATATTTTTAAGGGTTAACTGAATACCTAATTTACAAAATCCTTTGACAAACCATATCATGATACTTTCAATGGGAAGACACATGAAATTTCGTCGAAAGTTGTCAAATAAAGTTAGCATGCCAGAGGTAAGCACCTTAAGCTGTATAAATTTTTATTTTTTTATTAATTGAAAATAAAATGTACATATATTGTAAAAATTTACCGTCCCAAAAACTATATAATATACGAAGGTAGTTGGGTATAGAAATAAAATCGCCGAAAAGAATATTGTGGCAAGGTATAACTGTCTATTCATATAATTATGGGATTCAATGCGTCCTAAATGAATAGTGTATTAATAAAAATCCTTTTTTGTCAAAGATATAAAAACCTTTTAATACATTATATCGGTTGCCACGAACCACTTGCCATAGTACAGACAATCCTTTGTTTTCCACATTATAAAGGCTGAAATAATATACTCTTAAATTATTGTAATTAATTAATTTTAGGCGAAACTTACACTTTAGTGTAAATGTAGAAACAATGTGAATGTAATCCAATAACTGATACTAAGTCCGCCAGTAAAGCAATTTGAAACGTAAATCCCAAAAATCCGAAGAATGCAATGACGAAATATACTTGACGTTCAAAAGGCTCGATAAAGTCTATTAAAGTAGAAAAATAATAGGTAATATATATCTGAAAAACAAATTTCATTTAAATCTGCCGGTTTTTGGAGGAGACATACCAATATATGATATATACCAATTCCCATACAAACGGGAAATTGTCAACGCGTGGATTACGAAAACAATAAGAGATAGAATCAGATTGCAACTTGGGATCGTATGATATCCGCGCAGATCAGATCAAGTTTGTGTCGAAATTTGCCACGCCCACTCCAGCCCTCGAAACAGAAATCTGATACTAGCGCCAGTTCGTTAATGTTTTTGGAAAATATTTTAATTCCAAACTGTTCCAATGGTTAATCTACACCTACAAATCAAAAACCAGCCAAATCAGATACTTTTTAGAGGAGTTATACCTAGACTTTTAAGTCTGCTTTCCTATTGAATCGGAAATATGACCGTGGCACAGTAGTCCCGCTCCACTATAGGAAATTTGACCACTTTTTCTGGCCAAAAACCATTTTTTGAAAGTTAAAGGATTTTAATAATTTTAACTGCGTATCATTCACAATAGATTAATTTTTAATGTTGCATACTAGAGGTCTGCATGAATACAGTCAAAGCAGCATTTGGCACTCTCACTCAAAGTTCTGACTGACTGAGTGAGACATTGAGTAAAACGGATTTGGCAAATGTGGTAAAGGCATGAGTAAAAAATTTACTCTATCCGAACGGCGACGCAATAACCAAATGAGTTTTGTAACCGAGTACTCGGTTAGTTGTGCGTCGCATTTGTGACGTCAAATTTATTTTTTTTGTTTTTGTGTTGCTTTTCAATACAAGAAATAGAAAAATAGAAATGCATGGATTAATTATTATATATACATATGTATGTATGTCATTTATTTAATTTTTCATAACAGAATGCAAAAACATAATTTTTTTTATTGTATCTGCATTGTTAGCAATAATACATCGCTTTTCAGAAATTAAATTTCTAGCATCTGCAAAGGCTCTTTGCAGGTAGCTGCTTGCTACCTGCTTGCCGAGCTGCTTGCAGGTATACAAAAAATTGTGCAACTAGTTTTAGCTTCTGCTTTAACTGCAATGAATGAGAAGAATGCCCTTACCAATCCGCAGTTCACTTTGTTGAAACGGTTTGGCACGCTCAATTGCGACTTAAACTTATTGTACTCAAATAACCGAAAATTTTGAGTGCAATCATGCAGGCCTCTATTGCATACCAGAAGTTGGAAATTCATAGATGGCGCCACTGCGAAAAAATCAGCTGTTAAAAAAAGCTATTGACATATTGAGCTCATGTAGCTTAGAATTTACGATTTTTTTACGAAAATTTTATGAAAAAAATCAAGTTTTGAAATGAATACTTTTTAATGTGGTTTGCATTATGTGTTTCTATATGTGAAGTGTCCAAAAAACTTGTGTTGTCTTTTCAATAAAATGAAAATGTATGTAGTCTAGCAAAGGAATTTTTAGAACTAAATCTGATTTTTAAAAAGAGATTTAACTAAGTCGAACCGAGTCGAACATTGTAATTTATTCTATGTTGTAGGTTGTTTAATTTTAGTCATATGAGTGAAATATGAATATGAACTTCTATGCACTTTCGAAGAAATTCATAATTTCAGGAGGCAACCTCAAAACCTTGAATGTGAATCAGTTAGCTGTAATACTAATAAAAAATTGATTTAAATAAAAAACAAGAAAGCAAAGCTAACTTCGGGCGGAGCCGAAGTTGATATACCCTTGCAGCTAAAACCGGATATATATCGCAAACATCGGATATAGTTGGCCGATTCTTATGATTACATCATAATAAAACCAATTAATTACAATAAAAAATCTAAAAAAAACCTCCCAAGCTTCTATCTTCAAAAATACGAAAGTTGATATATCTACCAAATACCATTTCCGATCGTTCAGTTATATGGCAGCTATAGGATATAGTCGGCCGATCCTAAATTTGGCATGACGGAATGTGTTGCCAAAAATAGCTCTCATGTCAATTTTGAACTCTCTAACTCTAAAAACACCAAAGTTATACCATTTCCGATCAATCAGTTATATGGCAGCTATAGGATATAGTCGGCCGATCCCTGCCGTTCCGACTTATATACTGCGTGCAAAGGAAAGAAGAGTGTATGCAAAGTTTCAAGTCGATAGCTTTAAAACTGAGAGACTAGTTTGCGTAGAAACAGACAGACGGACAGACGGACATGCTCATATCAACTCAGGAGGTGATCCTGATCAAGAATATATATACTTTATAGGGTCGGAGATGTCTCCTTCACTGCGTTGCACACTTTTGGACAAAATTATAATACCCTCTGCAAGGGTATAATAAATACAAGATTTTTAATTAAAAAAAACAAACCTACCTACTTTTCCAAAAGAAGACTATGGCTTTATAAAACACTAAAAAAGAACCAAATTGAAATATTTTGCTTAGTTCTACAGTCCCAATTTTAAAGCTATCGACTTGAAACTTTACCCACACCCAGTACCCTGACCGCACTAATTAACTTCACTTTATCCTCAAGTGCCGAAAATTTTTCGGTCCGACAATTTTTTTCTTTTAATTTTCGCTCCATGTTTTGGCTATCAAAAGAAATCAAATGAATTCTTTTTACACCCCAAAATCAGCTGTTTATTTTTTTTTTTGATCCGGCAACGCCATTCAATTTGATAGCCATAATTTTCGTCGTCAGAGTACCGGCAAAATCTAGGAGGCAAAAATTTCTTCTTCTTCCTTTTTTCAAACCTGTCAAGCTGTCACACGGCGGATTGTCGTCGTCAGAGTACTAGGCTTAAATGTACCAATTCTTATTTATAATTGGTCTAGCTATTTGAATCTATTCATTTTTTTTTTTTTGCTGTACCTGTCCTCTTCAAGAATAGCATCGAAAGAGCATGATGTTCATTGTGTATGGCAGCGTAAGCAACGTGCGTAGCTCGGTAGCTGAATAAAGTGCGATTTCGTTATCGGATTTTCGACAGCGGATTTTCGTCAACTCAGTACTAGGCTTAAATGAAAAGTAAATGCCTTTTCTATATTAAATCGGATCTTATTTGCAAAACCTCTAGAAGATCAATTAGGCTTGTAGTTATTTTTAAAACGAGTAATTTCTGACCCCACCTCAAATTTGGATATCAAATTTTGCCGTCGGCAACAACAATTTTCGTTTTGGTGAACGACCGATAAGTCCGACACCATGAGTTATCGCCTAAGCTGCCATACTTTTGATAGAATGAAAAAGCAAGTTAAAAATACTTGGATAATCAAAAGGATGGCGATAAATTTGTTGAAATTGGATAAAATATGTTTTTTAAAAATTAATAAATTTAATTTAATTAGTTATGAACTAAAAGTGTATAAAAAATTGTTGAAAACACCGGAATGAAATGAAAATGAAATCCATTGAAAAGGTGGCATCCCCTTAACTTGGCTTTTCCCCTTAATTCTTTTGGCTACTAAAGATGCAATTGAATATAAACAGGCTTTTTTTCACGTTGTTTGCTGCTGACCAAACCTCAAATCAGCTGTTTCGGCAGCAAAAAGTTATGAGAAATGATACGTTTCGATAGCAAAACGATAGGTCCCAAACGAAAACCAAAACCGAAAGTGAAAACCGGAGCATGCCTGATTAACTTTTTTTTTACAACAAAAAGTATATGTGTAGTAGTAGTATGTGTTGTGTTTTATGTAAATCATTGTTGTATTCAGTACATAATTGTGAACGTTCTTAGTTTGTCTTTTCTGTGTTTGGCTAGTTTTAGTTGTGATTGCACTCTTTGGCATTAACAAATCTTTATACCCTTGCACAGGGTATTATAATTTTGTCCAAAAGAGTGAAACGCAGTTAAGGAGACTTCTCCGACCCTATAAAGTATATATATTCTTGATCAGGATCACCTCCTGAGTTGATATGAGCATGTCCGTCTGTCCGTCTATCTGTCCGTTTCTCCGGGAACTAGTCTCTCAATTTTAAAGCTATCGACTTGAAACTTTACCCACACCCTTCTTTCCTTTGCAGGAAGTCGGGATCGGCTGACTATATCCTATAACTGCCATATAACTGATTGATCGGAAATGACCCAAATTTCGTGTTATTGAAGATAGAAACTTAGCTGGAACTTAGTACAGATTATATTTTTGTTCAGTTAATCCGACCTACCAAATTTCATAACGATCGGCCGACTATATCTTATAGATGCCATATAACTGAACGATCGGAAATGGTATTTGGTAGAAATACCAACTTTGGTATTTTTGAAGATAGAAGCTTGGGACTTTTTTTTAGATATTTTATTTTAATTACTTGGTTTAATTATGATATTCTCATAAGGATCGGCCAGCTATATCCGTTGCTTGCGATATATATCGGGTTTTAGCTGCAAGGGTATATCAACTTCGGCTCTGCCCGAAGTTAGCTTTCCTTTCTTGTTTTGTATAATATTCTTTAGCATTTTAAGCCTGTCCGACCTTGTCACGTTTCTATTTGAGACGCTATCTCAAGTCCATTTGTCACCTTCTCTGGTCTTCCACAAGGCAGCTCTCTTGGACCTCTTCTAATTAAAAATTAAAAAAAAAAATTTATTAAAAAAAAAAAACCTACCTACTTTTCCAAAAGAAGACTATGGCTTTATAAAACACTAAAAAAGAACCAAATTGAAATATCTTTCTTAGTTCTACAATAAGCATGTTATTTTTAAATAGGGCGCGGTTCCACGCTCACAATTTTTTCAAATATAAGTTTTTTTGACCATATACTTAAACTCAAATCAAATCAAAATCTAAATATCTTGCTTAGTTTTTGAGTTAGAATGTGTTTCTTGAAATGTGGGCGGTGCCACGCCCACATTTTTTTTAAATCTTAAATCTATTGACCATTTGAACTCAAATCAAAAATCAGAACTTAAATATCTTGTTTCGTTATTGAGATATTCTTTTTGGCCAGAAAAAGTGGTCATATTTCCTATAGTGCGCCCGTAGGCCAAAAAAAAAAAACCAAATT